CAAATAAAAAAGTTCAAGTGAAACAGTTTATACCTAGTGCTTATTAATGTGGATCCTGATAATGTTCATTGGGTCATTTTTTTCTTCTTCAAGAGAAAAGATATCTTTAGAGAAATGAGATGAACAATTCTCATTAATTCCTCTGCAGTTGTGTGTCAAGACTGAAAGTCATTATCTGAAGAGAAAATGAATAAATCCTGGTAAAAAGAGAATATTAGTTCAGGAGTTGTACCTTAGAAGTCTTTTATAATTTCTGAGTCTATAAACCTTAGTTTATAAACAAAAAGGTAAGTCTGTAGTTTTAAGGGGAAAAATACAGTCCACTTAGGAAGACACAGGTGATATCAGAAGTAAAATAACTGTGGTAGATTTCTAGTTGTATCCCATTTTCTATTAGGGAATTATATGTCCTCACCCATTACCATGTGGCTTGAAGTGACCCTGTATTCCTTATTTTTATAACAATGCTGAATAACAAACCATCCCAGCGGCTATAATAAGCATCTACTTTTCTTCCTCAGGGCATGCAAGTCTGCTGAGGTGGCTCTACTTTAGGAGTTGGCTTTCCTGGGCTTGTCGGAAAAAGTCTGTCTTACCCTGCATAGAATTCTAAGTTGACAGTTTCGTTTTGCACTTTAGAGTTGTCATTTCATTTTCTTTTGACTTGCATAGTTTCTAATGAGAAGTTATGAAATTTCTTATGATCAGTTCTCCGTATATAACGTACCTTTTAAAGATATTCTCTTTTATTACTGTTTTTTACCAGTGTGATTATGATTTATCCTATTGTTTCCTTTATAGTTATTCTACTTGGGTTTCTTTGACCTTCTTGGATCTATAGTTTATATGCTTCATTAAATTTGGAATACCTTTTTCCATTACTTCAAATATTTTTTTCTTCACCCTCATCCCCTCTCTGGGGCTGCAATTAGCCTCTTGTATATTGTCCCATATGTCACTGAGGCTCTGTTTTTGTTTTTTTTTTTCAGTCTATTTTGTCTCTGTGCTATATTTTGGATTGTTTCTATTGATGTGTCTGCAAATTTATTATTATTATTATTATTATTTTTTGCAGTGCCTGATGTGCTAATGCTCCCACCCAGAGAGTCATGAAATTTCAGGTACTTTTCATCTCCAGAAATTCAACTTGCTTCCTCTTTTTAAAAAAACACACAACACAAAAAAAATTCCTCTCCTGCCATCTTTTCCTTTAAATACTTGAGCATATTGAATGCATTTGTAATAGGTGTTTGAAGTCCTTGCCTATTAATGTCATCATTTTTGTCCTTTTTGGATGGTTCCATCGCCTGTGTGATATATTTTCTTATTTCTTGACATGTCTGTTAAGTTTGGACTGGATGCCTGGTATATTGAATTGAATGTTCTTGAGTCCTAATCCCAGCCTTTTGGAGAGAATCAGACATATTCAACTCTGGCTGCAGGGAACTCATGATTCCTAGTCCTGTGTGAGCTCTGAGAAGTCATTATCTGAAGATAAATGTATGGCTTCCTGCTCCCCAAAAATTGTTCTTTCCGGGCCTTGTGGAGTTTCCCGTGACCTAGTCACTAATTTTTATTCTAATAAAGATTCCGGGGTATTTCTACGTAGATTTCTGAAACTCGTTCTCCATGAACTCCAACTCATCAATTCCAACCAATTGGCCTACAAACCCCCTAACCTCACCCGTCTTCTCAGTTTCCCTCAGCCTGAGTTCCTCTTCCCTGCTCCTCACACTGGAAATTACCTCCAGAGGGTGACAGAGGGGTCACCTTGTTTCTTTTCTGTCAGGTACAACAGTCCAGACTGCTTGCTGCCCGTTGTCTGAAAACAGTTGTTTCATACATTATGTTCAGTTTTTTTTAGTTTTTTTTAGTAAGTCCAGACCCATTTCTTCTTGTCCTGAAGAAGACGTCTTATTTTGTTTGCTATGGTTAAATTTCACCTCTCCTTCTCAGAAAACGTTGATGGGGTCATTTTCTCTGTGGTGTTCTCTGACTGGGGTCTAGACCCTGGAGTAACTTCAATAGGAGCCCGCCTCTAGGGGCGGGAAAGCCGGTCCCCCCCCTCCCCCCGGCAGCGCCTCC